TTCTTTTTTGAGCCATGTTATAGTCTTGGCCTTCACAACATCCTCTGGCAAAGAGTTCCACAGGTTGACTGTGCGTTGTGTGAAGAAATATTATCCAGGAGTTTAAAAACTCAGCTACATGTAGCTTCGGAGGAACGAGTAGTACTTTTCCAAAAGGGACAGGAGTTTGAGAAAAAGTTAGAGTGGAGTCAATCTCATGCAGAGGGGGCAGGCGAGAAAACTCGCTGTTGGCAGGAGTGAGTGGCTGCCAGCCTAAGCATGCTGGACAGCTATAAATCAGACCATGGTCAGTTGTTGGATTTGCAATGTGTTAGAAAGAGAGATGGCAAATTGGCACACAGCAACAATGCTCAAGTATAGGAGGGCTACAGAAATGCCCACTGCTGCGAACTCCTTGAGAGAGAGAGCTGCAGATAGTGACAAAGATTGTCAGAGAGAGAGGAGACAGAGCTTCTGTTCCCATCCCCATTGGTCTGGTTGAACCGAAGGAGATAGACCCACCTGCAGGGCCAATTACTAGAAGTAGGGGGAGAGAATTAGCTTAGGCTGACATGGTATCTTCAGGAGCAAGTCAGAGACTGAGACTTAGGAGCCATAGGGAGAGTCAGAAGAGGAAGTTATCAGAAAAGCAGCTATAAGCAGTCTGCAGACAGAAGAGAGAGGTCCCAGAGTGGCAGAGCAGTAGGTTGTCAAGCGTGTTCTTAGAGGAGGTGACTAGCGAGGCGCGGGGAGGGGGGGGGGGACACCCTCTCCTCCGTCAGAGTCCACCTTAGATAGAGAAGAGGAAGTGCCTTTGGAGACTGATTGTACAGGGACTAGAAGATGCTGTGTCAAAGTGATATAGGTAATCTCTAGACACAGAGAGACAAAAGCCCAGAGATGCCAAAAATACTCTAGTACAAATCTATACATCTATTCTAATAAAACAAACAGACCCATAAGAAAATATATTTAAGTAAGCAAGCAAGTTAGCCCTATGGGCTACAGTACTCTTCGTCTCCCCACAAGGGTAGACTGAAGTTTATATCACACTGGAGAGAGACCACCTTTTGCAAGAGATCACAGGAAATCAGCGTTAAAAAGATTCACTACCAATTAAGGTGTGTGTTCAGCGTTCACCAGGAAAAAATTTTTTAAGAATGGTACCTGTTTACTTGAGAAACTATTCTAAGACGAGGAGAAAGGTTAGTAAGATTAACCCTTCTACTCTGAGGATTAATAGTTTCTCTAATTAGTGTAACCTCCAATCTTCACATGCACTCACCTATTTCTGTTAAACAAGTGCAAACCTTGACTGCAATCATTAGGAGTTGAGGAACTAATGCAATTTCCATATATTGGTGGCATTTGCTTATAAACAGCAGTTCAAATGCATTCAGTTGCGTCCTCAGAAATGTGTGCAGGAGTTAGCAGCAATCCGTAAAAGCACATCAATCTTACTTGAGAGGTTTTATGCAGTATTGTTGTAGCCCTGTCGGTCCCAGGATATTAGAGACAAGGTGAGTGAGGTAGTATCTTTTATTGGGCCAACTTCTTTTGGTGAGAGAGATGTGCTTTTGAGCTACACAGAGCCCAGACCTGAAGAGGAGCTCTCTGTAGCTTGAAAGCTAAGCTTTTCTCTCATCAACAGAAGTTGGTCTAATAAAAGATATTACCTCACCCACCTTGTCTCTCTTGAGAAGTTTATGGCATTGAATGGGTGGGGTCCTTTATTTCTAAAATGTTGATGTCATAGTTTCCTTGTTCCTTCTGAATCTCCAAACAGAAGTTATTGATTGTTCCATTGTGTCATTGGAATTCCTTCCAAAGCTTTCTCATTGTGCTCCCCACTTGTGGAACTTTTGACGTTTTACTAGTAGACAGGGTGTGAGATGTTTACTGAAAGCAGATTGGATTGAAATTACAAGCTCAGATATGGCTGTTAAACCCTCTGCTATATGAGGAGTGGTGTGGACACTGCACAGCAGGAGCATCAAAAGACAGTGGATGAAATCCACAAAGGGATTCGGTATTACTATGATGAGCATCATGGTGCCTAACAGTTGGGCTCTTAGAAAATCACAGAAACAACACTCTGATCCACACAGTAGAGTTAGGTGCCTAACTTCCCTATAGACTCATAGAATATCAGGGTTGGAAGAGACCTCAGGAGGTCATCTAGTCCAACCTCCTGCTCAAAGCAGGACCAATCCCCAAATAAATCATCCCAGCCAGGGCTTTGTCAAACCTGACCTTAAAAACCTCTAAGAAAGGAGATTCCACCACCTCCCTAGGTAACCCATTCCAGTGCTTCACCACCCTCCTAGTGAAAAAGTTTTTCCTAATATCCAACCTAAACCTTCCCCACTGCAACTTGAGACCATTACTCCTTGTTCTGTCATCTGGTACCACTGAGAACAGTCTAGATCCATCCTCTTTGGAACCCCCCTTCAGGTAGTTGAAAGCAGCTATCAAATCCCCCATCATTCTTCTCTTCTGCAGACGAAACAATCCCAGTTCCCTCAGCCTCTCCTCATAAGTCATGTGTTCCAGCCCCCTAATCATTTTTGTTGCCCTCCACTAGACTCTTTCCAATTTTTCCACATCCTTCTTGTAGTGTGGGGCCCAAAACTGGACACAGTACTCCAGATGAGGCCTCATCAATATCGAATAGAGGGGAATGATCACGTCCCTCGATCTGCTGGCAATGCCCCTACTTATACAGCCCAAAATGCCATTAGCCTTCTTGGCAACAAGGGCACACTGTTGACTCATATCCAGCTTCTCGTCCACTGTAACCCTAGGTCCTTTTCTGCAGAACTGCTGCCTAGCCATTCGGTCCCTAGTCTGTAACGGTGCATGGGATTCTTCTGTCCTAAGTGCAGGACTCTTCACTTGTCCTTGTTGAACCTCATCAGATTTCTTTTGGCCCAATCCTCTAATTTGTCTAGGTTCCTCTGTATCCTATCCATACCCTCCAGCGTATCTACCACTTCTCCCAGTTTAGTGTAATCTGCAAACTTGCTGAGAGTGCAGTCCACGCCATCCTCCAGATCGTTAATGAAGATATTGAACAAAACCGGCCCCAGGACCGACCCTTAGGGCACTCCGCTTGATACCGGCTGCCAACTAGACATGGAGCCATTGATCACTATCCGTTGAGCCCGACGATCTAGCCAGATTTCTATTCACCTTATAGTCCAATGAATGGGGAGAGATAGGCACCTTAAAATGCAATCAACAAAAACCAGCACACTAGGCAGCGCCTTGCCTGGTCTAGCCAGTGGGAGAGGCTGTTGTTCTAAGTCACTTCCCTTTCTCAGAAACAGGCACTTGCATCCAGACTGCAGGAAGACACCTAGATCTGCTAGAGATCTATGAACAGGAATCTGACTCCTGGCTTAGGTATCTATGTAGGTTCTTGTGGGAATGACTTAAGCACCTGCCTCATTCCATGCAACCACTGCCACCAGCTGTTTTGCAGGTGCTGGCGCAACTGCTTACCTTATGACGTTTAGCCCATTGGTTAGAGTACCTCAATGTCTCCTGTTTAAGATGGTCCCCAGTGGATAAAGAAAAAGTGTTTGGGTCAGAGAGAGAGAGAGAGAGCGAGTGTAGGAAGGGCTCTGTCGTCCAGTGGTCAGAGCACTCATTCAGGGGTCAGGAGACCCTGGTTCAAGTCTCCCTGCTCCAATCATTCTTTCTTTATCCTCAAGGGCAAAGCTTCAACAAGAGAAACTGAGAAAGCCCCCACATCAGAATATCCCATAGTTCAGTGGTTAAAGCACTCTCTGGAGATAGGGGAGACCCTGTTCAAATCTTTTCCTGCTCTAGCAGAGAGCCAAATTGAACCTGGGTCTCCCACATCCCAGGCAAGTGCTGTAACCACTGGGCTAAAAGTTACAAGGTGGGCCGTGGTGGCAGCAGCCAACCACCTCCTCAATTTTTTTTTTTAAGGGGGCCTGATCCAGCAGGCACCCTCTAGATGTGGCTATCAAATTGGGCAAGTTAGGCATCTGAATGCCTGTCTTCCCCTGGGGCTCAGGTGGGAGATGGGTGTCCAACGCCTAGAGTGAGGCAGCAGTGTGTATGCCTAGAGACACAAACTTAGGTGCCAAGTGAGTTTAGGCACCTACAGAATTCAGTAGGAGTTTTGTGGATCACAGTGGGGGATCTAGGCACCTAAAAATGGGATTTAGGTACCTAGATCTGTGTGTAGGTACCTAAGTAGTGTTGTGGATTCTACCCCTTTATACCTCCCAGAGTTCCAGGGTATGCAAGAGAGCATACCTGTTGTTATACCTCTTATGGGGTACTCTTAGCTCCTCTCTTATGGTGCACACTGCTTAACAAATAATAAGACCAAATAACTAGGGGTAGTGAGATGAAACTGGCAAATGAAAATTCCTAATAAGATGTGTTTGGATATGGAATAGTCTTAGAGATTATGGAAGCATCATTCCTGGAGACAAATCAAAATGCAAGTGGATGACCTCATATTTATTCTCCTTTGTAAAGTACTTTGAGATCTATGGATGAAAATCTATACAAGAGTTAAATAATATTATTTGTATTAGATTGTGACAAACAGAACACAGCCATAAAAGCTAGAGGTGGGAAAGACAATGTATGATTCTAGTGACATTCCTAAAATTAAAGATCCACTGCTTCCAAATACTTAGCCTATTGAGTTGTTTTTAGTTCCATTTTGAATGACGTCGAAACATGACTGGCTTTCTGTCATGTATGTACACAAGTAATAAATTACCTGATTTGTTTTATAGCTTTTGCTTAACATACTGGTATCTCTAACCCAACTTTGTGACAGTGATGTATTTGCTGTTACAAACCAAGTAATTTCTTGGTTATATTTTTTTTAGAGTGAATCATTGTAGCAAATCAGCAGTCAAACTTTAGAGTTAAAAACAGCTTTTCAGTGTTTTCTATAAAAATGTTGAATATCACTTTTTATTAAAAAAACAAGTGACTAAAATTTGTTTTAATAATTTTTCCTTCTTTAGTACGACAATCTCCTGAGTCAATTTGGTTGCATGCAAGTTTCTGGTTCGGCATCCTCCCCTTCACTATCTGCCCCAGAGACAAGTCACCCACAAACATCAGGGAACATAGAACAGTACATTCACGATCTTGACAATAACTCCTTTGAGTTGGACTTGCAGTTTTCTGAAGATGAGAAGAGACTACTACTGGCAAAACAGGCTGGTGGAAATCCATGGTAAGGTGTTTAAAGTGGTTGATCTATGATTTTTGTGCTGTAATAAGGAATCTACAAAACAGTAAACCATCCATTCTTGCCTTGGTTCATATTCATCTTTATCAGAATCCTAGTAGCTGAACAGTTAATGATTTCATTAGTAATTATGCTTTTCTTGACTAAAGATTTTTGCTAGTACCACTTTAAGAATAATGGGCAGTGATAATCTGAAAAATGGTGGGTGTGTGTCAGTGTCATATATATACTGGGTTGTGTTTTCTCTCTGACTCCATATCAAATGAACTCAGCTAACCAATAAAGAGAGGCTTTTTTTATCTGCTACTCTTGTAAAATCAATCTGAGGTTTGAAAACAGCATGATTCTTTGCTTCTCGTATATGGGCACCAATAATAGAAGCTCTTCAAGCTAAATTAAGCTCAGTCACATCTCCACAGCCCCACTGTCTTCAGATTATACAATCAATAACAGGTGCAATCCATCAGTCTTGTCACAGTAGGAATTAAGTTGAAAATAAATTATAACTTACTGATATCTAGCAAATCATTTTGGGGTAGGGTTGAAATTCATCTAATACACCTCTACCCCGATATAACACTGTCCTCGGGAGCCAAAAAATCTTACTGCATTATAGGTGAAACCGAGTTATATCGAACTTGCTTTGATCCGCTGGAGTGCGCAGTCCCGCGCCTCTCCCCCCCCTTCCCCCCCCCCCCCCCCAGAGCGCTGCTTTACCGCGTTATAGCCGAATTCGTGTTATATCGGGTCACGTTATATCGGGGTAGAGGTGTATTTAAAGTTATATGCATGGCTCATCAACAGAGAGGGGAGACCTATAGAGAGAGATTGGAACTTTTTAAAGATTCCAAGGCAGTGGATCTTTAGAAATATCCCAGATAGATTTGAAAGAAAAAGAAAACAATAACTAGGGTAGTTGTGGTTACATTGGGGGGGAGAAGGGGCAGGGGTGCTTCTGTAATGACAATAATTCTTTTTTTTTTTTTTTTTTTTTCCTTGTTAGGCACCAGTTTGTAGAAAACAACTTAATACTAAAAATGGGTCCAGTAGATAAAAGAAAGGTAAGTCTCATTATCCTATCTGTCATGATGTAAAATGTCATTGTTCTTGCAGTTGCACCTCTGAGAGATGTATTGCTAAGGAACCGGTTTTTGGAGTTCCCTGATTTGTATAGGTTTGTTAGCTCTGTCCCAAATCTATTGTTCCTTTTATAAAAGATGTCATAACATTTCCTAACAAACAGCTTTTCACAAATTTAATATCCTTCCTTTTTTTAAAAAAATGTTATGGTACACTCTTGGTTGGACAAAAGCTGCAGTCAGATTAGCTGATGGTGCTTCCAATTGGTAATCAACTGTGAATGGAGGTGTCTTCTCTCCTCCTTTATCAATCTGATTAGTCCAGCATGACACTCAGTCTTCAGTTGTTCTTGATATTGATGTTTGCTGTGTGTGTTGTTGGGCTGCTAATGTCTGAAACTAGAATACAGGCCATTATTGTCCTCAATGTAGTTTTTAATCCTTCTGAGGTAGAATGAAACAATCTCTCATTCTAAGAGCAACTCCACTTTCCTTCCCTCTATCCTACATCTGACTTAGGACTACTCTGTAGAGGGTGGCAGAGGTGGCATTAAAATCAATTTAGATATTTTAAATATAAGGCTGTTGTCACTTAACTGGCTCGTTAGTTGTCATGGTCTGCTGCCTACAAATGCAGTGTCTTCACCCCCGTCATTATCTACTTACATGTCACTCTGCATTTTCTCTTCAGAAGTCCATGGTTGTGACTGCTCACCGCTGTGCAGGGAGCGAAAATATCTGAAAAGTATGTTGCTCTGCGACAATGTCTATATAACCAGCAGTTTTATTTTTAAAGTCCTCTTGGAACTTTGATAGATGAGGTTTCTGATGCGTTCCCCCCGGGGTGCCACCTGGAACTGAAGTACTACTGAGCCCCCCCTGACCCGCCAGCCTGGATTCCCTTTACACTGTACTGCTGTGACCAGTCTGCACTTTCACCAGCACACACATAGGTAGGGACACACCCAGCTGCAGTTACATGCAGCTGCTGTGATCAGCCCTGCATGGGAAGACTCCAGCTAGGGAACTTCCTAGCTACTCATCTCCTCCACACACCACCACCCTCCCTCTGAGTGTAAACTCAAAATACAGCGTAAGCTCATGAAATTCACCCCCTCCCTAAATGTGGAGAGGAATTCACAACAGCTTTCTGCCCCAAGTTATGACTCTCACACTGATTTTAGACAAAGCAAAAACAAGTTTATTTAACTACAAAAGATAAATTTTAAGTGATAGCAAACAGATCAAAGCAGATTACCTAGCAAATAAACAAAACATGCAAACTAAGCTTAATATACTACACAGATCGAATATGAATAGCAAATTCTCACCCTAAGTGATGATACAAGCAGGCTGCAGATTAAGGGGCAAGCTACACTTGCTTGCAGCTTGGAATCCCCAGGTGTTCCATTCACAAGCTAAAAATCCCTTTAGACTGGGTCAAGCACTTTCCTCAGTTCCTCGGGTGTTTCCAGGAGTCTCTTTGGGTGGGGAGTCAATGAAGAACCAAGATGATGTTATTCCCCTGCCTTATATAGTTTTGCATATGGCGGGAACCCTTTGTTTCAATGCTTGGGTCCCACGCCAGTCAGTGGAAAAATACTGATATCCCGAGATGGAGTCCAGCACCAAGTGACCTGGTCACATGTCCCTGTAGTGTCACAGCAGCCATGACTCGGAGGCTGTCTGCAGCGTCCTCAGGAAGGCCCCCAGGTGGGAGATAAGCTTTTTCTAAGGCCTATTGTTTTCTGTAATGGCCCTTCCCCACACAGCTTTTCAGAATGAAAGCATCTTGTCTAGTGGGTGTTCCCCAGGTGTAAACACATACATACGTTGTCAATATTCCTAACTTCAGATACAAAAATGGTACATGCATACAAATATGATAATCATATTCAGTAAATCATAACCTTTCCAATGACACCTCACATGACTTATCTTGCATAATTATGATGTATTTTATGCCATAATCATATCCTAATAATATCACTATGACGAATATGGGGTACAGTGTCACGAGGTTAACTATTTAAAATGCTGGTTATATTGACACTTCAGCAGAAATGCACTGAGATGCATACAAGAATATAGTCAAGAAGCAGAAATTGTTTATACAGCGCTATGTGAGCTTCACAGGCAAACTCAGTCCCTGCCCAAATTACTTACAATGCAAGTTACATTTGATGTAGGCAAAGACAAAGTGGAGAGTGGATAAGAAGGGGAACAGGTGAGGAAGGGGCAAACTTTTTATGTAAAGTTAGTGATGTTGTTTTAGTCTAGTCATTTTTTAACTTATTTTTATTAACTTGTATAGGACTTAGTTTCTTTGTGGGACTGAGACTGCTAATGTTGCATGCACATACAAGTGTCTTGTCGGTATTACCTTCCAAATATATTAGTTTAAAAAGGGTGTGTGTAATGTTTTTCACACACACACACACACACACACACGCCTAACTTCAGTATCAGGCAAATTAATTGAAACTATAGTTAAAAACCAGAATTATCTCTCACACATGAACACGATATGTTGGGGAAGAGTCAACATGGCTTTTGTAAAGGGAAATCATGCCTCACCAATCTGTTAGAATTCTTTGAGAGAGAGAGAAAGAGAGAGTCAGCATGCACGTGGGCTAGGGTGATCACATAACACAAGAACTAGGGGTCACCTGATGAAATTAATAGGCAGCAGGTTTAAAGGAAACATAGGAAGTACTTCACATAACACACAGTCAACTTGTGGAACTCGTTGTCAGGGGAGGTTGTGAAGCCAAAAGTATAAATTGGTTCAAAAGAGAATTAGATAAATTTGTGGAGGATAGGTCCATCAACAGCTATTAGCCAAGATGGTCAGGGGTGCAGCCCCATGTTCCATGTATCCCTAAACTTCCAACTGCCTGAAGCAACTGGCACTAACCACTGTCAGAGACAGAATATTTGGCTAGATGGATCATTAGTCTGACCCTGTATGGCCATTCTTATGTTCTAACATTTTGAAACTGTAATAAATTCAGAAACTTACTAGAAGCCCAACTCTGAAATTAGCCAACCTATATTAACTCTGTTTCTATAACGATGCCCTGAGAGAATAAGAATCCCATATTACTTTATCCATCTATAATAAAAATATTAGTTTTATCAGTGAGTACAAATACTAGAATGCATACATTATATAGTGATTGTGCTGCCTGCCAGTACACGTACAAGGATTTGACAGATTCCTGATAAGAAAGATAAATACTGAAGGCAGTTGTTCCCTGCTCTTTATTAAGGCTGTGATTCAGGAAAGCATGTAAGCAAGTGCTAAAGCCCACTGACATCACTATGACTTAAGCACATGCTTTAAGAGGGTTGTGGGGCAGGGGGAAGTGAGAAAAACACACACACAAGAGCTCTGAGAGAATAGATCTAATAGTAATATTAATTTCTTCCTTTGCCTTGATACACTTGGTGTTGCTGCTACTGTTCTCCTTGTCAGGGATTGTTTGCTCGTCGGCGCCAATTATTGCTCACTGAAGGGCCCCATCTCTATTATGTGGATCCTGTCAACAAAGTTCTGAAAGGAGAAATTCCATGGTCACTAGAGCTGCGACCAGAAGCCAAGAATTTTAAGACCTTTTTCGTTCATACAGTAAGTGACCTATCTTTAGGGTTTTTCCCAAAAGTCTTAATAAAATTTTAATCAATTTTCTTTAATAAATTTATTGGAAATGAAATTGGAACTTTTTGTTGATAGAAATGTTTTCATTGCCTGTGTACTACAAAGATTTTTAGAGTTATTCATGAATGCTAGGTTGCTGGTATTAGTGTGTTTTTATGAAAAGAGAGGATTGAAATTTTTTTAACAAAGAAATATAAACTTTAAATGGATTGTGTGTTATAGAAAGAAACGCTTCAAGAGTTTGATTTTCATATTGGTCTCTTCAAAATAGTCAAAGCGCTCTTGCATATTGCAACTGACTAAAATTGTGCCAATGACTTACTGTATCAGTTAATCAGTCTACATATCTTAAATGGAAAAATGTCATTTACCAACTGTACAGTTATCCAGAAATAATGTACATTGATGTATTACTACAATTGATATTAATATGTTCCTGAACAGATTTATAATCATTTAATTCTGAATTAGTTTTCTTGCTACCAGTAGAGTATTTGTGGGTTTTTTCTGTTTCTTGTTTTATTTGTTTTTGAAATAGTCATTAAACTATTATTTACTTGTAGCCTAACAGGACATATTACCTGATGGACCCAAGTGGGAATGCTCATAAATGGTGCAAAAAGATACATGAAGTTTGGCGGCACAGATACCATCAGAATGCTGCTAAATAGTAAAGCTCATCCAAAATGTCCCAGTCTCCCTACTTGCTGCTAGAACTCCATGTGCAGCCGATCAGAGGAATCTTCCCAACCCATCTATTATCCATCTCAAGGGGAAGCATATGTCTGAAATATTTTGTTTTTTTTAAAAACGACAAACACAAATGGAATTCAGGGTCGCTTTGCTTGCTCTTTGTGCTTCTGTTAAGGCTTCCACATGCATATCGTTGAAGTGAGGATCTTGCTTTTGTGCACTTCAGCTCTATTTCTGCTGCAAACTAATGGATAGACTTTGCATTACCAGCTTCATTTAAGATCAGTTAAAACCGATCTACACGCATACACCCCAGATCATGTACCGGTCCTACACTTTATGGGGCTGGGATTATTTCTGTGACTTTCAGATGATCATTAAACTGTATTTCATCAGGGAGCTTTTAAATGCTTCTGCTGAGGTGTAACCAGCACCTCCTCTCTACTTTCCTTCCCCCCCTCCCCTCCCCTTTTTTTTTTTTTTCTTTTCTAACTGGTATCTGGCATTTGCAGTCAGGTCAGTTGCACCCTTGCATAACTCCTAATATAGTTCTGGTTGCAGGATTTCCGTGGTACTTATTATAATTATGTGAGTAAATCAGATGTATGTGTCTGGCAGTCAGACACCGATGATACAGGTTGTAAGAAAGTAAAATGCTGAACGTGGCACTGAAATTTCTAAAATTGAAATTTTGGCTTTTGAAGTTCATAAAGTTTTAAACAAGGAATTTTAATTTGATGGATTTACAAGTTTAATCAAGGAACAATAAACTTACCAGCATGCTTTTAATTAATACTAACTAAATTAAATTAACCAGTTAGTATAAAATGTTACTATTGAGGTAGTAATTAGACTCTTCAGCTTTTCAGGAGATGAGGGCAAGTAGCTTTCTTTCCAGGGTATGCATGTATTGTGCATTTTAGTGGGGCCAACCTATTTACTTGGGTAGAGAAGGAAGAGTGAAAACTTTGATGTACAATTGATGACTTGATTTGTCTCTTTGTATAATGAGATGTACAAATATTCTTGTCCTGGTCATTGGCCAAACAACTTGCAGACCTTTTAGCAATTCTGAAAATATTTTAAACGATTTAAATACAATAAGCTTATACACTAATCTGAATAGTTGGAAGTTCAAATGAAAATGTTGAATCAAAGGAGAAAATGTATGGTACTCTAGTCATATCTATAAATGTTTGTTTCATATCGGTCTGCTTCATCCTTTTTCAAATTAAATTGTTGTGGTCAAACATTTCCTGTGACACAGCAAAGACTTTGCTTTGTACATGTTAAAAGTAACTTCTCTAATAGTGTTTTCCATATATCTGTGCTTCTGGGTAACCAGATCCCCTGGAAAGAGCATGCCCATGCCTGGACAAAGACATTCCTACCTCATGTCTAAAGCAGTATAAATACCACATCTATTCACTCATCCATTTTCAGAAATCTCTCATTTTTTGCTCCTTTGCCACTTCAATTGTTTTTGTACAAAGTACTTCTCTCCCCCCCCCCCACCCCCACCCCCAGTCCCCCTCAAAGGAAGATCACCCTGCTGTTGTGTCAAGCCCATTGGTGGATTCCATTTTTGTGGTTAGTCTGAATGTCCTAGAAGTAACCAAGCAATGCTAGATTTTCCATATGCACCTAAAGAGGCCTGTTGTGTAACAGTTCAATATGTCAGTATTTTCAGATCCTTAAAGGAGAGTCTGATTAAGTTGCTACTTTCCTCCTAATTGTTTTTGAAGAAGTACCAGTGTGCAGTTAGATCCTGTAGTAAAGAATCCACACCAATACTCTACAACAAATTCACTAACATGCATGGTCATATTTTTGGGGGGAGGATGAGGGGGTACAGTGCCTCACAGGCTCCTGGCATAAAGGGAAAAGTAGAGGATATTCCTCCTGTTAAAATCAGATGCTAGTCTGAAAGCAAATTTCTCTAAACACATTTTCTGTAACATCAAATAGTTTAGCAACCCCTCTCTTGTCATTCAGAAATATCTTTTCCTCTTTCTGCCCACTGCTTTTTTTAATAACTGTCCCTATAACATCTGATCCTGCACACACACTACTTTCACCCAAAGAAGGTCTCTTATGAAAGAAAGCAAGAATGATTGCAGTCATTGCTGTGTAGATAGTAAATGTGAGAGCCTGCAAAGTTGGGTGTTTGCATTGTGGGGTACTTTGCTCTTTTAAAAATTACAGTATTGCAGTTAGAAACTTCTCCAGGCGGACTCCTGCACTAAGCTCCATCTCCTCTGCATATTCATGTTCCTCGTTATTAAGCCATGCTCAGCAGGTAGGGTTATGGCCCATGGAAAAAGTTGAGTAGTTTTAGCTATTATTCTCTATCTAGAACAAGTTACAATATTGAGCACTACCTTCTATAGTAGGCAAAACCTCACAAATAACAAAATCGGCTTCCAAAAAATGTTTTCATTCTACTTTTTTTCTCAGATTATTTGGACTCAGTCCAAAATGTAATTCACAAACTTTCACTGAGGAATGGACTCTTTTTGCAGTGGAAGGGGGCAAAAGCTGAGCCAGAGGCTTGCCGTCCTTAATCTCTGCTTTATTGGAGGAGAGCAAGTCAAGTGAAACTACTTCATCCCCATGTTTCCCCTCCAGTGAAGAGGAGAATAGGCTAGAAAAGGCTGCTCCTTGCTGTTGCACTTGGAGGAGGGGACCAAAACTATTCTAGGAGAGGCTTCCCCCAGTCACTTCCCTGTGACTGGGGTATGCTAGTGGAAGATTTATACTATGGGAGGATAAGGCAAAGGCTCTCACGTGGAACGGGTAAAGTCCACGTGCATGCTGCTTACGGACATATCAGGAAGTGCTGTGTACTATGGTGGAGTGGTTCCTGCATTGGATAGGTATATCTCAGTGTAGGGATGTCCTCGTGGACAAAGCAGTTGAATGCCTTGTGTAGGAGCACACTTAGCCATTCATGAGAATGCATGGAGAAGAGTGCATAGAGAAGTGCTAAAGGGCCTGCTCTAGGGCTGAGAGCAGGCCATTTAGAAGTCTCCATACTGTAATCATATGATCTCCAGAGGGGAGAGTGTAGCTGGCCACTAGCAGCCTCATTGTTCTTGAAGATATTTGGGGCAAGGAGTGTAGAGCCTACTGATTCATTCACTCTCCTTTTCCCAGCTACGATTACCAAGATTTCCAGAAAGATTGTGAGTCAGTGTGGCTGTGATTCAGATTAGGAGACATTTAGTTTGAGATCAGACTCCCAGAAGGGCACTCAACTCTGGTGATGGGCCTGCTTTCCATTGAATGGAATCTGGTTGAAGAAAAGGCAGTGGGATTGGTGCTAGAAAGGATACTTAACCCACCTTCCTTTTTCCCGTGGGACATTGACCCAGTCTTGTCTGCTGTATAGCTTTAAAAATATCAGGGCATGTTCAAGATTTCTTGGCTAGGCTGAGAGTTTGAGGCAAATGGTGATAAAGCAATGCCCTAAGCCCTCTTCTGAGCAGGGTTTATTTTAAGGACAGTTAAGTTATAGCTCACATAAGCATTGTTTTTCCGCTTTAGACGCTATATTGTATCTATCACGAGCAGTGTACCACAACAGTCTTAAGAGGTGCTGTACTAACAAAGTTGGAGTCTCTAAGGCATCTTGAGAACTATGCAGCATTGCTATTGTCCCATAATGCTGTTGAACTGTGTAGCAATTCTGCTAGATACAGCTCCCAAAAACTTCCTGAGGGGTGGGTAAAAGTATTATATCCATGCTTCAGCTTTTGTGATGTGATATATGAGGGATGGTAATGTTGGACACTGACGCCTTCTGTATTGGGCACTTTCAAAGGATCCTGTGGACTTAGCCCTCACAAACTGAAGAGAAATATTTCTCCTATTCATTTTTGTTGACTTTAGAAATCCAAGTTTGTTTATCAGGGATAAAAATCCCCAATTTTAAAATAATATAGACAATAGATGTATGTATGTCTCCTGCAACCTAAAAGACAAACACTGAAAGTGTGT